CAAAAATACCTTTCAAGATCAAGTAACAGAAAAATGCGGTATGTTGACTAAATCATTTAAAAATGAAAGCAATAGTTGTGAATCTGTGAGAAAAGTGTAAATGTAAGGTGGAAAAAAAATAACATGGACAGTCTTTCAATATTAAAATAGACATATTAATTTTTATTGTGTCTTTGAAATACAAAATTCACTGAAGTTGTTAGATTACTAAAATAATGAAAGTTTCAATTTTCTTGCTCAGAAATTCACAATATACATTATTCAATCTAAGAGCCTTAATGATGGATACTAACTATTAAAGTGGAACCTAATCGTTGTTCATCTATATACAAAATGTCAGTTTGCACAATTAAGAGCAATTCACCATCTTTTGAATGTCAGAAAGTTCAATAAGGATGAAATAAAAGATCATCTATAATTCTACAAGAGAAATTCACAGATCAGTAACTATTCATAAAAACAGCAACATCAAAACCAGTGACATGCAACTGGCTTAAAAGCATAAACTACCAACTCTTACACAGTTTTATATTAGCATAATAGGACATATTGGCAGAGATGTGGAAGTCTAATCTGCAAGCAGGTACACATGGTCTTTCATGTAATGTAACAGTTTTAAAAGTTTACAATAGGTTGTAGCAATACTGAGTACCAGCATGAAAATGGAGAACATACAATCTGTAAATTAAAAGAATAATAATAATAATTTAAAAAAATCACATTTTAGCATTCACATTAGTTGATGATGAATTCACTTTTCTTCTCGGTTGCTATACAGGGCCATACTGATTTAACAAATCTATTTTATATGAGGAAAAAAGGTGATTATTTATTTTTTTAATAGCAGAAGATATTATCAGTACAGCCATAGGCAGCAACAACTTACAGCTCGAGCCTAGTACTGACCAGCCGAGTCACATCTCAATGCGATGAGCGACTGCACCAGAGGAAGAGCAGAGAAATCCAAGGGGTACCCGTGCGCTCCTCCTGGCTGACCCTACACCTTCTGGGTCAGTCGATGAGACAAGCAGGCATTGCTGGGATTGCAGGGCAGACCTCCCTGCTCAAGTGGAGAGGAGGGACAAGGAAGCTGAAGGTTAGACTGCCTCCTGCCACTCATCCCTGCAGCACCACTGGCACCTGAACACTTGCAAACTGAACTGCCGTTTCTGCTTAGATGATTTTGCCATCTTAGTGCCCTGGTGACAGACATTAAGAGCTGGTTGTTCCAGGGTTCTGTGGCAGAGAAGGTCATTAAAAACTGCATTGCACCCTGCGACATGAAACATGCTCTCCTTGGTGCAGCACGCCGCAGACAGCTTGGCTCCAGCAGGGACCTCCAGGGATGGTGCACGCTCACCCTGTTGTGCTGCTACAGCTTATTGACCAGGAATACCAACACTATGGGCCTTTCATTCCCCGATCCACGGAGACCAAGTCATTCCTGATCCCACCAGCTGCTGACTCTCAATAAGTCACCTCCTCAGCTGCTGAGTACGTGGACCAGAAGGGCTTAACTTGTCCTCTGTGCTGCTGTAGCACTCGTGACTTTCCAGGGGGGTGATGCTTACCTCCTCTGCAGCTGGGGTATTAACATACCCCAGTATGACGCATGGCTTCCCAGCAAAACTAACCCACTATGAGTTACCAGGGACACAGTTCCAGCACAAGCTGGGCAGATGCTGCTTTAAGTTTGATTATTTTGGTCCCTGAGCAAAATGAGCAACTGACTCTTATCCCAGCAAAATGCTGTCCTCTCGCAGGCGCAAAGTGTGCTCTCCAGCCCTGACACAAGACCTCCGAGTACCTTCACGGAGGTTTCCTGCAACTCAACAAACTGGGAAAGATTCTGACATCTCATTTTTTTCAAATGGAAGCATGCCCTATAGATTTAATTTGCTATTTTGGATACAATCTGGCTCTTCTTTTAATTTCAAAATAGATACTATACATACTGATCAGCAATTAATCTGAAATTACTAATGATTTGCATGTACTTTTGGCACAGTCCTATTATGTCCTATGAAATTATGCAGCAGCCTGCAATATTCTAATTCATAATCCTAAAAATAGAATACAATTATTAAAAAAAGTCTTATGTTTAAAACAAATACCTACTGTTATTTTCACAGTTGCTTCAGGTTTGTTTCAAAGTTGGATGCCAAAGAAAGATTTATCATAACTGTGGCATAAGACATTTTACAGCTTACATTTAAGCAATAATGGGATACAGTCAACAGTATAATGATGTCAACATTTCCTCTCTCAATAACCCACGCTCTAATGTCCAAACTGGATTGTGAGCTATGGCTGAGTATGGAATAGCTCCTACAGAGTAACTACAGCAGTAAGTAACTTGAGTACAAGAATCTCTCTGTAAAAACAAATTTTATTCTGTGGCACAAAGCAAATAATCAGCTTTTGCTGTTGATTAAATGTTGAAGTAAAGTTAAGGCACTTAATCAACTGCAAAGCACATTTAATGTAGGCGTACTCCAACACTGTAGACATTATTGATACTATACATGAAGAGAAAATGTTTATCCAATATATCTCACAAAACCACAATTTTCTCCTCAGAGGATTTGGAATGTGACTGTGCCTATCTCTGAAAGCCTTTCTACTGATGCTGATGCTTATTTAAAGTATGTGCTTTACATAAATAACTAAACAAGCTTCTACACATAAAACAATAAAAAATTCTAATCCTTAGTATGTACATAGCAGTTTCCATGCATAAGCCATCAAGTACTTTAGAGATGAGTAAAATTTCTGATTATAAAAGACATGTGAGGTTAAGGAACAGGAAATTTCAGCTCAATATTCTCAAAATGAGCTAGTGGCTCTGATGCTCCACTGGGAAAAGACAAGTCAAGCTTAAGTTTTCAGAGCTCTGTGTCTTTGGCACAAAGTAGAGTGCCAGATGCTTTTTTTGAGCATCCTGCCTCTGACAGTGCAGGATATCATGAAAACACAGCAATGCAAACACTGAAATATTGAGAAAAAAACTGATCTTCTTAATGATTTGTTCAGCAATCACTGAGAATTTTCTGTAACTCCAGTTCCAGATGAGCCAACAATTCATTCAGCATCTACAGGGCAAATCTGAACTCACATTCAGACAGCAGCAACACCTCCATGGTCAGTTAGTTATTTAGAGAAATGTAAATGCTGGCACAGAATAGATCAAGGGTTAGCTGCCCAAACTAGCCTTCTCTTGCAGGAACTATTCATCCTTCTTCCAGTCTAACTTCTATGAATGATGACTGGACCCTTGGGAATATGAGGGGAAGTCTTGTTCAGTACAGCATCATTATTCATCTGCTGGCAGTGTGGGCAGAATTTACGCTGGCACGTCCCAAAGAGAGATTTCTTTTGGGAACACAAGGCAAGGCCCACAGACCTGGCTACTCTCCCATCACAATTATCATCTTGGCAAATTGAGAGTGGACAATCACAAGAATCCTTATCAGTCTCTAAAGTGATGGCTGGAAAGAGAGAAAGGGTGTAAAAATCTCAGATCCTGTGCATGAGGAAATTAACATTTGAAACAAGAGCAGGTTGGGCAGCCAGCACACACATAGCTCCGGTGGCTGCCCAGGGTGGTCACTTCCTCAAATCTTGGCCCAAGGGAAGAAGCTATTTTCCAGTTTGTCAACTCTGGTCAACTCTGTTTCCAAAAACAGGTCACATTACTCTGCCTATAACTTAGGCACAGTAAAACACTATTAAAAAGTAGTTTTAGATACCACACATGACGTTGAAGCCCTCTTCTTCTTTTGCCTTTCTGGAGAAATGGTCAAATACAAGATATGGTCAAAATAAAACACATGGACATGTTACTAAGAAAACAGTGAGACAAACAGAAGGTAATTTCAAATCATTTCAAGCAGGCCCATGTATTTTCTCCCTGAAGAACATACTTTTTTGTCTCAAAAGCCAAAATACATAATTTAGACTAGATCCAGAGACTATTAAAATCAACAGAACCTCCCTTCTGACCTCAAATGACTGCAGGAAAAAATCTGAGATTTTAGTTTCTTTGTATTGCACCAAAAAAAAAAAAAAAAAAAGCATTCACCCTCAGTACATAACACTGAAGTAAGAAACGTGTTGCCAGTAAGACACTCTTGCAAATCATCTCCCACCAGCCCACACAGCTTCCATTGCATCTCCCAAATAAGAGCTAAGACACTCAAGACCATGAAGGGAATAGAGTAAATAAAAAGTTAGAATAATAATCACTAAAAATTCTTTCACCCTCTAGAACTAAGTTTCCTCTTTCTTGCTGTTATGCTTGTATGAGCAGATGCAGAGATGTCTCCAGATGGTGGGTATATGGGACCTCCCAATCTAACAAGGGGGAACTCCTGTGACAGCTGAGCCCGTTTCCCATACAAATAGCCTGGATTCAGCTTGATGTAATCCTCCCCATAAATCCTACTTGACTCGTGGCCAAGAGTATGGGGGTCCACCTCGTAGGGACGTTGGGCTATTTACTTGGCCAAACTCTTGTCGTCTCACCTCACTACTCACAACTCAGGCAGGACAAATGGAGGTTGCATGTTGCCATATCTGGTATCTACCTCCAGACCAAGGGCTTTTCTCCTTAGAAACAAACAGGAAGGAGGAAAAAGCACAGCGGGAAAAACAAACATTTCCAAAACCACAAAGCTGAGTGAGGAAACAGCAAACACAGAGATTAGTAGAAGGCATATAGGCAGCTGCTCACTTTCTTAAGGACCTTAGCTTGTAACGAAAGGCAATATCAACGTCTGGCAGGAGGATACCAAGGCCCATACGACTGTTATCAAGTCTGACAGCTTTGTTTTCTGCTAGTTCTACATCAAAATGAGCCAACAGTAAGAACAGAAACATCTTCATCTCATTCATTGCGAGGAACCTCCCTGGACACATGCTGATCCCAGAGCCAAAGGGCATTAGGAAATACTTCAGTTTTCTTCCTGCCTTGTAGAATGTGGTTTTCTTCTTGCCATTCTCTATGTATCGATCAAACTTATACTCCTGAAAATAAAAGAGGAAGAGAGAGAGAGCGTGATATCTAACAAGGCAGTTACACCAGTTGCTTTGTTTGCACAACAGTAATGCTTCTGAAACCCATAAAATAAGATAAAAAGGAGGACAAGGAGTTGACAGCATCTCCTTTTCAGTTGGTTCCCTCAAGTTTCATTAACTCACATTATCTTTCCTGCAAAGAACACTCCTTAAATCCACTTACTTAGCTTAGCCCTTTTACATGAAGCTCCTTCAACTTCCATGTCTCACCCTCTGAGCGTCTGGCCTATACTGATTGTAATTAGATTTTGACTGCTTTGTAGCAGGGACAATGAACCTTAGTGGAAGGACAATTTTCTTGTAAAGCATCATACACGCTCAGTGTGGTACATACATCATGAATAAGGGTAATCTGCCAAATTCTTCAACTGCCTATGAATAAATTAATGCATTGCACCAATCTTGTTCCTGCAAGCTAGAGCAAAATCCATCCTTCCTTTGCACCCAGTGGTGCAGATTATTCAAAAACCAGAACTGACGCTTTGCAGTCAATTTTCCCTTCAGTTGGAGATGGTTGCTGCTTAATTTGCCACATCTGACCTTCAAATGTTTTGCTCTGGAAGCTGTGTGCAAAGCAGGACAACCAGTGGTGACTGATCATTATAAAGAGGGTGCTTTCACTAAGGCTTGTGGTTGTGCTTGTAACCTACGTTCCATAAATTGAACATCTTTCTGACTATTTTCCAGAAGCAGGATCCCTGTTTAGAGATAATTCATGTTTTTGAATGAAGGAGATCTGGCATCCTCACTCAGTCAACAGCAAATTAACCACTTACAAAATCCTCCTGCATGCTTTGAATAAAAATGACAGACACTTCTTGCTTATGGTCACTCATTAGCATTTGTCCTGCTTTGCATACATCTGCTATAGCAGCAGCCATTTGGAGCTGGCTGGGAACAAGTCAGTCAGACAGAAACCAACCTCAACTGATTAAAAAATCCCACACCACAATGAAAAATACACTGATACTTATCTACCCATTAGATTAAAGGCTCTGAAAACCATGCACTGCAGGTCTTGCTGTTGAGAAAAAAACAGTGGCAGGGGAGGTGGTCTATGAGAAAGGGAACAAGTACAGGGTGCACTGGAGGGGATGTAACTTTGGGTGTTGAAGAACAGGAGCTTGTTTCTCTAAATGGCAGAGGCCTGTATTTTCCACAAAGATAAAGGTGACTGTATGTGTATTTCCACTGACAAGTAATTCTTTTCAGTCTCTTTGAACACCCCAGCCAAAAGGAAGCATGCCATTTTTAATCCTCGTAAGTTATTGCTTCATTTGAAGAAGCACAGTCACAAATGAAAGCCCCAGAATACCACTTCTTCCTTAAAACAGATTCACTTCCTGAAATGTAAATCCTGCTGGTCTAAAAAAGCACTGCTAAATATGAACCGCAATAGCTTAAAAAACCAACCCAACCCAGAGCTCTTTCACTTTCTTGGAACATTTCCACAAGGTGCACTCCTGGCGTCTGGAGCAATTAAGAACTGTGGTATTGAACACATAGACATACTGGGTCAAACCTTACACTTTCTTTGTTATCTTAGGAGCCATCTGAGAGTTGTAATTGCCTTTAAAAAGAATAAATTGGTGTCTAAGGAATTGGGAAAGCAGAAAACAAGTGTGAGACAGGAATGGAGCCAATGACCGTGACACCAAACTCAGGCTTGTGCTGCTGAAGCCCCTTGGGTTGGATAGTGTTTCCTTAAAAGCCAGTTTGCCACCTAAATAAAGGCTAATATTTGACAACAAAGGAACTTTCAGCCATGCACAAGGCCTCCTTGGAAGAGACAGAGCGGCTGATGGCAAGGAAAAGGTGAAGACACTGAGCAAAACCATGCAATGAAGATCTGTGTGGACAGGCTGCTAAGAGTATTATGAAAATTGAGCAATCTCCTGTGACTGAGATAAGTCTCACTCTGTCGCATCTTGAATTCAGCTTTGTTTGGAAAGCCACCATGTAGGGTTTCCTGCAGGGTTTCCTGATATTTCACTCTGTGGGATTTGCAGAGTGCATTTAGTGAGCTCTATAACTAGCTGAGTCAGGATTTAGGTGTTCACTTATTCACTTTATAGAAAACTGACTAATTTATTTAGGCTTTGATGAGTGGAGAAAGAGGTCAACAGTATATGCTTGCACTTATACAATATGGTGCCAAAGCAGAAGATAGCTTGAACTTTAATTTATGTATCCAGAAGAAAAGCATGCTACAAAATTATCTCATCAAGCTGCCTGTTTTCCCAGGAAAGTTTTCCCTAAATACATGACAAGCTCAAGACTGCACCTTTCAAAAAATTCATTCTCCATCTCTATCTGATCTTCAGTAGTTATTGTTGAAAGCACACTGCATATTTTAAGAACCAAACAGAACAGTGATTTCCCCACTTTTCAAGAGGGCCCATGTGCTGAAATCAATGTACTGCAATGTGTGGATTGCTCATTCACTATCAAAAAGATAAAATATATGAACTAAAGCTGTACTGTGAAAGCTGAGCAGAGCTGATACTAAGCAGATATATTCAAGCAATGGAAATATGGTAATATATTCTGGCAATTATTGGAGAAGGGAGGGGATCAGTTTCCACACCGATGCTTTTGGTCTAGGACCTAAACAAACAGATGGACTTTTGACAAATCAATAATGTTCTCCAAAATAAAGTGTTAAGAATAAAATGAGAAAAAGCTCATTTGTTAGCTGTTACTTTTTAAGGATAGAAATATTAATCAACTATTTGCCAATATATGGATTATTTTTCAAAACTCTAGTTTTCTCTGTGGGCTTTGTCTTCCTTTTTGGGTGGGGACTGCCAGCAGAGCCCTCCTGGATGTCATTTCCACTTCATGGCTCCAGTGTTCATCCCCGTGACTCTACCTTACTCCTGCTAACTGTGACACGCTCCCCACCTCCTTTCACCAAGGCTGGTGGAGTTCCTGCACAGTGACATGATATAATGCACCAACAAGGCACTTGAATATCTTTTTCCCTCTGCAACCTGATATCCTTAAATTTCCAAAAGGGAAAGCCTCAGGGAGCAATGTCTCTAACACGGATTTTGTATAAACATGTAAAAAAATCCAGTTGCCTTCTTCTTTGGCTCAAATGCCAAGGATAGAAATCAGCATGACTGGGAGACAGCCATTTGCTTAGGGAAATGGGGGTAAGGAATGGATCAAGTATGAACTCTTGCTTCTCAGGCAGAGCAGGCATTTAACAGCCTCAGTGTACACCATCGTGCTTCCTCTGTGGCACCCTGGGCTGGGGACAGAAATCCGGGGGAGCAATGTAGCCGAGAGGAGGACTATTCAATTTGCATGCAGGTGGTGAACCTCTGAAGGCGTATTAAGGCTGAGGCAGGGTGGATTAATTTCGAGTCTTTGATATTCATTAACATGAGCATCAGAGAAAAATACAAGGAGATGACACAATTATCTGGAGATGACACAATTACCCTCAAAGGTTTGCTGTAGAGCAACAGCTTTACAGTCTCAAGTTCACAACACTCTACTAATTGATCAAGAAGGGGTGAATTCCTACGAAGGGAGGTGAAAAAGCATAAGGCTCAAGTAAGACGTTGCTATTATAGGGCTTCAGAGAGTCAATGATGCTTTGGGGGCACTTAGCTAAATGACCCACATTATTTGCTATTTAAAACCACCTTCTATTATCCAGCCCTCCTTGGGTATCAAATGATCCACTGCCAAACAAAACCCACATTTAGCCTAAAGTTTATGGTAGTCAATGTGCAATTGTCAATTCCTTTGAAAGCAGTTGCAGTCAGTCTCATCACCATATTTCTCTCTTCAGGCCATGAATCCGTTGACCTATAGGGCCCTAGAAAATACATCTGAAAGTAGGAAGATTTGTTCCACAAGAAGGAACAGCAGTAAAAAAAAAAAAAAAACCAAAACAAGCCCGCAGATCACAAAAGGCTTGGCTGCAGCGATGTGCCTGGAGTAAGAAGAGTAGCACCAGCTGAATGTTTACCTTAGGATCTTCATAGACCTCAGGGTCCATATGCAAAATCTGTGGGTAAAGGGCTATCCAGTCTCCTTTCCTCAAAGTGACTTCTTGATTCCCTTCAAGCTTGAGAACAAAATCCTCCTGGCTGATGCGAATGTTCATGGAGGACGAGCACATTCGTAAACTCTCGTTTAAGGCACTCTCTGTGATCAAACAAAAGCGGAGGGGGGGAAGCATCAGAAATATGGGAGATGACTGCAAGTTATACATGGCTACAGCTGCTGAATCTCGACAGGTTTACTGGAGCAGGCTAAAGGGAAAAAAAAAAAAAAAGGAAAAAAAACCCCACAAACCAAACATAAAGCAGACACCAGGAGGACGCAATAAACAATCCCACAGGGCTGGCGGGGAGGAACCATGACACTGAACATCCCGATGTGATGCTCACTGATGGTGCTGAGAAATCCTGTCGGCTGTAGGCAGCACTGAGTTTTGGGTGGAAAGTCATTATTCAGGCATCATGTTGAAAACAACGCAATCAAAAGATATGAATGCTTTACGCATTTACATATATTTTGGAGGTTGCAAGCAAATACCATCAGAAGCATCCACGGAGCTATTTAGCTTGCCTTTTGAAAGCTGTTGGATGTAATGGCAGGACTATATGTTAGAAAAAATAATTTCACTTCTTAATTCCATAGTCATTCTGAGCATTTTAAAATTTATTTATTTTCTTTTCAATGTACTATGCTGCCAAATGACAGTGTCTGCTATGGCCAGAGTGAACAAAAGCAATTCATTATTTGCCTGGTAATTTTAAGAGAGAAAGACGCTTTTAATTGGCCAAGAGAAAACAAAACATAGTCCTTTCAGGCTTAGGGAATGCAAGATTTCTGTCTCCACCATCACATCCTGGAAGGCTCCAGAAGCTGAATGTCCTTGCTTTCCCAGTGGCCTTCACCTTTTGCTCCTAGCACGACAGATTTTATGGCTAATTTCCGGCAATTTATCCTGGCAGTTTGAGGAGGAATTCCTTTGGGAATAATATGCATAATTTGCATAAATCATTCTGATAGCATGTATATCAGCATGTAGCTCCTGTCTAGGGCTGCATCTCTCACTTTGTAATCAAAACTGACTATTTTTCCACCAGCGTGTATGGGCACTGTTATATGTGACTTGACTCTTTCTAATCATCAGTGTGAAAAATAGCCTAAAATAGAGTTTCATTTGCACATAATAATCAATTTGTGTCTGCATTTATGTTCTGTGATATCAAATAAGCCTTCTCAAAGTGGTCACCAAGGCACTATAACTGCTGCACCCAAAAGGTTAGTTCACTAGAGACAGTAGCTACCCAGTGTAGATGCCTCTGAAAAAAAATAATAACAAATGTTCTTTCACTCAAAATTAAATCTAGTGCAGCATGCATAGCAAATAAAGTGGCCCTGGATGCTTTCTTGCAGGAGGTTTTTCCTTAAGCATGCATTTGTCTAAAGAAATGAGGCTGCGGTCAGCTTCGTGTGGCCAGTGCCGTGATTCAATGTGACGTACAGTGAGTCTGTGCATATTCTTTTGGACTGCCTTCGTTACTATAATCAGGCAGAGTCAAATCGGCTTGTTGGTGACGAAGCCAGAAAAGAACCCTAGTTCCAGAAGATGGCCTCTACTGCAGATAGCCACAAGGCACCTGACACGATAGATTTCAACTGGCAGCACTCTGGCAACAAAACTTTACGTGGTACAAAGAAAGGGTCCAGCCTCCGCTTCCAGACTGTCTTCACCCTGCGGAAAATGGAGCTGGTAACTCCACACCAGTCCACCATTTGGAAACAGGGGAGACATATGTAGCGACACCAGAAATCAAATGAGGAAGGGGAAGGAGGGTAAAGAACCAAAAGGAAAATAATTATTAAAGCGCCGCTGCAAAATAGCAGGTTCGCGTTTAACCGCCCAAGCGATGCGGTCACATCCTATCGGCAGACATCCTCCCAGAAAGCGCAGCAGTCCCTGCCCGCTGCCGGATCCCAAATGACAATTGGGCAGCATATCTTATGCAGAAGTTAATCACAATAATGGAGCACAAAGAGTGGCTTAGCGGTCAGATAGTAAATGACAAATCTGTTTTACCTTCCAGTACCAGTTATGTGTGGAAGGCGAGCTTGGCTCTCGCTCTGAGCGATCATGCCGATAATCATTAGATGACAAAAGTAATGAGTCACATTATGATCAACAAAGGAGAATGGAGCTTATATGGCTTTTCAGGCTCACATTAAAAAAATAGACAGTCAGCTTTCCGCAAATGCCGGAGCTATACATTGAGAGGAATGACAATTGCACAATAAAACTGCAGCCTTTACTTGCAGTTGTCATAGTTCAGCAGACACCAGCCATCGGCGCTGACAGACCAGCTGGGTAGCTTGGGAGGCCTTCCATTCTGCACCGTGAGGTACAGTAAATTATCCAGCACGGTAGAGCAACATCTGTTTCTGTGCTTGTGCTGAACAAACAAGGCAATTTAAAGCATACCAAGGGATAACCAAGCAGCAAATGAACATGACCCTCATCTTTTTCCCCCCTTCTTACACACATGAGATGCTAAACTTCACTGTGTGAGTGCTACATAAAGAAGCCAGGCTGTTGTTTGATAAGGTGTTGTCAGAGAGATTTTACATATTTTCTAGAGAGAGAGAGAGGAAAAAAGAGAGAGAGAGAGAAAGAGAGATATCTCATAGTATTGTTATTCTTAGAATCCTCCCACTTCTGTCTTCGTTTCTCTTACACTAAAGCTAGCACTCAGCTTCTAATTCATTCTAGATTTTTTTTTTAAAAACTGTTTCAATATACTTATAAATATTCAGTCTTTAAACCCTAATTTGCTATACTTAGTTCACATGCCTTCAAGCATTTGTCTTCCAATTTCCACTGAATAAATGCGTACTAATGAGAAATAGAGCAAGCTGCTGAGGCAAAGCTGGGTGACTCGAGCCTGGCCTGCCACCAGCTTGTGATAGGCAGGCAAATTGAGTTAAAATGAAAAGTCTTGTCAGCTGAAATACAACATGGTAGCCAAACAGCAAGCTGTCAATCATCCAGCCAAAACAAGGGACTGCAGGTAATAAAAGGTCATTGCAAATCATGAGTGCATTTGGCTTTCGTAGGCAAGTTAATTTTAATTAAACATGATCTCTATCTGTAAATGTTTTATAAAACTTATTGTGCATAATGGATTGTTAATTTTACACCAACACATAGCAGGTAATAGGGTACTATAATTATTAGAGTGTATTATAGGGAAATATCTATCGAGTATGCAAATATTTGGGGGGGGCATTTACCCACAGGCATCACGGTGTGCCAACACAAACGATGATCTGAAGCAAGTACATTTGCATCTTAGAAAGAACTAAATGGTACTGCCCAGCCCATTCCAGGAAAATATATTCATTTTTTCTCATTCCAACCGACAATTTTAATGCTTAGCATTTGTGTTACGACTATGCACTCCGTATCAGCTGGTTTGGGTTCCTACCCTTTTCTGTGTATGAAATATTTTTTCAAGCTGTGCTCTTTTCACAGGAAATATCTGGGATTCAGCAATGACCTGGGGCAAGAATACTTCACCATATAAATGAATGGACTAATATTAAACAAATGAACTGACTAAACAGGCCTAGCATTAAACATGCACTAAGTATATCTCTGCTTTACCCTTTGCATTTCCATTATAGCCATAAAAACCGACAGACCATTCTCATGTGTCGTTTACTGTATTAGAGCTCCGTTGTGAGCCATAATGACTAATAATGTATGTTAGTCTGTGCACACAAATACATGTGTTTGGGTTTCAGGAAAAGTCTTATGTAGACCAAATAAAGTGTGCTGCCTCAGAAATGCCATTGGAAAAAAAATAATCAGGGCCAAAATTTGTTAGTTTTGCTGTAGGTTGAAAGCCTTTTTTTTTTTTTGGTATTAAAAAGTCATATACCTGTGCTTTGAATTTAGAAGTATATCAGGCCATGTCGTTCCCTAGACCCAAAGAATCTGACCATAACAACAACGTTGGTTCCTGAGAAAGGCTTTTTAGCAATTCTTGCTTGTTCTCCATAGCATGAGGAATCCAAAAAAAGACTCTTATTATAGTAGGCCAAAAAGAGGACAGAGAACCAGAGTGCTTAAAACAGGAGAATGAGATGACAAGGTGATGAATGTACAAGAGTCCCACCTGGTCTGCCTTACTTGAGAGCAGGGACACAAATCCCTGTTTTCTGTGCCCTGGGTTGGCACAGAGGGGGTGGGAAGAGGAAATGCTCAGTCTCAGAGGCTGGGGTCAGTGAGCTGCAAGGCCAAAGGCAGTGATGGCCCACAGCCTTCCTCAGCTGGGGATTTTTGGTGTGCAAGCAATGCAAATTGGGACCTCTGTCCCTCCTACACATTTATTAACAAAACATCCCTTTCCCCTTTCCACCGAAGCATGTAATTCTCTTATGGTACAGATTTTTTTTCTAAATTATTATTTTATGGGACAGTATCCAGTCCTTTATGACTTAAGTGCCAGAAGAATTGAAATCTAGCCTCTGTTCATACCACATTACGTTTAACGCGATTATAAAATTTAACAAAAGTGTTACAAGAACACTACAAAGTAGGATGTGGCACTTTCCTCTCAACACATAAATCAAATGTTACCAAGGTACTTCCAGATTTCAAGGAGCAGCAGAGGAATGACACAGTTAATGTTTTAAACACTTCATACGAGATGGTTTTAGTGAAGCATATGCTTTTATTTTCTTTATTGCTACACTTCTGGGGTGCTTTGGGGTTTTTTTTTGTTTGTTTGGGGTTTTTTTTTGCCATTCTCATCTCAGTCTCCAAACACAAAATAAATTATCTCTTGATCTTCATGATGCTCAGTAACTTTCCTATTCTATTATTTTTGGTGGACACTAGCTGATGTGAAGCAATCTTACTTGTGTTCCTCAAAAGTACATTATGTGCTTAGAATGTCATGTTATTTCTTCAGAAGTGTTCTTGTCATCAGATATCTCCCCTACTTCAAAAGCATCCTCCATCAGAGATAAATCTGCACCAAAACAGCCATGACTCCAGATGAAACCAACTTACTAGACTCACGCTACAGAAGAGAAACATTAGTGTTCTAAAAAAAGCAACCGGATCAATCTTGATTTTTATATTTGTACTGTGAGAAACAACTCAAGTTTGAACACAGGCTCTCGATACATGCCACATTGGATGGTCCTGGAGAATGGCAGGCATTATGTCCAAATGACAGGCCACTTGGGATGGTCCGGGAGAATGCCAGCCATTATGTCCAAATGAAGCCTAGAGACTGTACTGCTCCACCATCCTGACACAGGTGCTTCCAAGAGCGGAATATCAGTTCAGGCCGTGAGCTACCAAAACATATAGATGTGAGCTCAGTTTTAACAGGGGACTTGTTTCAATATTTAAAAATAGAGAAACAGTGAACCTTTATGCTTTTATTCAGGTGTAGTCTATCCTTCTAACACTACCTATAGAGACTTTCAGATGCTTAAAGGTTAGGTTCATACCCTCTACACCCACTCTTCTCCCTGGGGCTAATTATAGCATTTATGTTGCCAGTGCCTGTGCACTACCAAACGAAGTGAAACCATCAGCTCATGCTCTGAAGGCCTGTCCAGCTCCTGGATCAAACTGCTTCTAATGGCAACTGGCAAAGATCTCCCTCCAAACCCCTGATCTAGAATTGGAAGATCTGTATTCCACTTAAACCGCCCTTATTTTGAATCAAGGTACTTTTTTTCAATACTGTAAAAGCCATTTCTAATCTGTAAAGCTTTACCTTCTTATATTTTGTTCAGAGGCATTGCTCAACTGAAGCCCGCTTTAAAAGCCCTTTTTTTGTTAAAGAGAGAAAAAGAAACTGCTTGTGAAAATTTACATTTGCAGTTTAAATACGTTATCCCACTTTAATTTCAGAAAAGGGTCTTTCTCGACAGTACCATACAGAAGTATTTGAAATGCATTAACACTTCGGCAGATGCTCAGAATCAAACAACTTAATAGGCATGAACTTTTTTTCAAATAATTGCAAAGCTTCGATTTAGCCTTTTGCATACCTTGCATAGTTAATTACCGAGGCCTTAATGTTTACATGCAATGAGAGTATCTACAGCTATAAACTACATAATTTATAATTGATGTAAATGGGTGTTATTATGTCAATTAGGCAGCTGTGTCCTCCACCTTCTCAGCAAACAGAAATGAGCGATAAACCGAGTTTGCTGGGAGAGCCCCTCTTTTCTTCCTAACAGATAAAAATAAATTACCTAGGTAGACCAGGTTGTCCAATTGTTCTCTGGTGAGGTGGATGTTATACGTGGGCCCTCTCTGTTGACCTGTTGACTGCAGCAAATGGTCAATCTCGTCACGCACCGTTGCAAGAGCTTCTGGGTGCCGCAGAAGATAATACATGGCCCAGAATGTAGCTGGAATCGTGTTTCCCACAGAGGCCCACAGGAAGGCAAAATGATGTGCTGGGAGAAAATAAGTGAAAAGGAAGATTAATAGCGTTTATTACACTGATTAGATTTGCAGTGTGCTAATTAAAAGATGTTAGGACACAGACCCAGCCAAGGATCAGTGAATGCTAATGAGGACCAATAGGCTTCTGAAGTCTAATTTTCTGCTTAATGAGAATAGTTTGAAATGTAATGTCGGGGGGGTGGGGGGAATAAGGGGAGGAAATGCAGCTCAGTTGTAATCTTTCTCATTATCACCATTAAGTATCTTGTTTTACCACCTCAGCACAAAAAAAAAAAAAAATCAATTATCATAGAGGGTTGTTTCAGAGTAAAACATTTTATCATTACCCAATTAGAAAGAACATAAAAAAATTTCAAGGTCGCCATTTTGCCTTTTTATTTCAAAGGTCTATAGTAAATTATTTTATTTTAGACAAGCAATCATTCATAAGTTTCCTACCTGCTTTGTCATAATCTCCAAGCAGCTCATATTTCTCAAATATATCTTGTCTGGCTTGGACCACTTTTGACCCTCCCAGCCATTTTGTCATGTTCTTTAGTAAAAAATGATGTATAAGCTCCTTCCGAACCTTCTTGGTAGCTCCTAGCAACTCAATTGGTATGTTTGCAGCTAAATAGGGAAAACTGGCATCAAACTTGATAAATTTGTCTCTGATTTCACTAATAACTTTGTGGCCATCTGCAGCAGGAACTCTTCCATATAGTGTTACAAAACTGGCTTCAAACATTACAGAGCAGCAGAATTTGTACATTTTTTCTGTTTCCCAATCTGTTGCTTGTGAGCATTTCCATTCAAATATATCCTGGAGGTTTTTCATCATGTGGTCAGAAATTATATCCAAAGGCTTGCCTTGTAGATACTGGTAGATTCTGTGTAGGTTTTCCTTGAGATCGGGGAATTTTCCATTTGACAAGGCTGGGTAGTCAAAAGTTTTGGAAGCCATTTTATCAGCAAATTCATGAAATTCAAGTTGCTTGCTATTTCGTATGACATAGACATATTGAAACGGGTCCATTATAAAGGTAATATATCTACCTGAATAGAAGAAAAGAAAAAAATTGAGACACGTGCACTTTTATAATCTGGTGACACATTCAGAAGTAATAACTGAAAATATGCCCAGCCAATGTCTGGAAGAAAAGCACACAGAAAATCCCTACAGCAAATACCTGTGAAAAAATCTGCAAAGACAAAAAAAAGCAAACCAAACCAAAACAAAACATTAAAAAAAAAAACCCAAACCAAAATCCAAAAGAAGATATAACAAGCTTTATTTAGCTTTGGAAAAAAAGCAATACTGATCTGTCAGGATGCAGATTCCACCTGCATATGCTTTTATGGCTCTTCTAAAATCAGCATGAAGCTATTTCCATGAAGACTGATCTGGTTTTGCCAGTAGTAGAGTGTGATCTCTGCAATCATGGCACTCCGGAATAAATCATTTATTACACTAATATAATTCATGAAAATACAATGTGGAGTTGTGCAGCACTTGAAGATTGTAGGGTTTTACCAGTAGAAAGGGAGAGACACACACATTTCACCTTGAACGAAGGAAAGTGAAGGGGGAGGCTGGAGTGGAAAACATGCCACCTAGGCAGCTTTTCTTCAAGCAGATGACACAGAGACTCAGAATCTGCTGGTTATGGCTTTAACTGCACACTGCAAAGCCCCAGCATTTAAAGTCCCTCTTACATCTGGTTTTTTTCCCAAAATTTTGCAAACTTTGTGTTAAGAATGTGCTTAGTATCTGTAAAATGACTACATCAAGATTTGGTTTTGAAGCCACAGCTTACAGTGGAGTAAGACACCATTTTTAAGATGGGCACCATTTTGGGGTACACACTGTCCTAGCGCTATCATGCATTTTACCAGAGTGCACAGACAACTTTCTACCCTCCCTGAGGTACTTCATGCGGTGACACAGCCGTACCTTCTGCTGCCTGTACAGAGGAACAGGATTGCACCAAGTTTGATGATTTTTCAAGTTGTTCATGCTAAAAAAAATCCTGCAATTTCTCAACTTTAAGCCAATCACTAAAGAAGAACATTTTGGTGAACTATCATGAATCAAAAATGCTAATACTCCCAAAGCTCAATTAAATCTTAACTTTTTATAGATGATTCCCATGTTAAGACTAAATTTAGAGTTCCTGACCCTTAACTTGAATGGTGAGGTGCGTTAGGGAAAAGAGGTATCCATTAAAATGTACACATACCCTGTGAAATATCCCAGTTATAAACTCAGGAAAACAGCAAAGCTTCCAGCACTTACAGTCTAATTCAGTCTCACTAAAGGGACAAATCTCCTTTGATTTTAATGGGAACACTACATGCTTAACTGAGGACCAAATTTGGCTCTGTGACAGATGTCCTGAGACAAAGTAATCACTATCACTAAAAATGTCAACAAGTATCCATGGTTACCATACAGTGATATTTGAATTATCATAGTTACTCCGTATTCTGACTTGCGTATACACACGGTGCTCTATGGCAAATCTGGGTGCACTCTGGACTTCCTCTGCAATTACTAGCTGCCCTAATTCCCCCCCTCAATTACACCCACTGCAATCCCAGCAAACCAGTAAGGAAACACAAGGGATAAATCGAGACAGAATTTGACCCTTTTTTTGTCAACAGTGTGTGAAGGCTGCTAAGCTGCTCTTAGAGTTTGCTTTACTGTAACATAACAAATAGATATAAATTAATTTTAAAATAATAAATATATGAAGAAACCAGCATGAACCTGAATTCCCAGTCCTCTTTTTCTGACCATATCTTCCTTCCCAGACCAGAGAGGCCAATAGGAATTTTTAGTCTGGACCTCTGCAGAATCTTTGGTAAGATTTGGAATTGCTTTGGTAAATCCTGGAATTGCTCTCTTTTTCCAGCTTTTACCCACTGTCATGCTCTTTATTGAGGCTATCATCTTTGCAATCAAAACTTGGAAAGAATGCCCATTGGAGTAATTTTTAATAAATAGATTTGGAGTGTTATTAACCCTAAAGATGAAAGCTGGCTTCCTAACTTTGCATTTACAGGGTAAACAATTTAAGTAAAGATTTTTAATTAATATTAATTTAAACCATCTGTCCACCATCTGCTTATTTCTGATGCAAAATATGAGTTTCTTTGTGATCTTTAATCAGACACTTAGCAAACGCACATCAATTCTTATCATTTTTAAGTAAGAAAATTATTTTCAGCACATGAGTTTTCAGACAAACAAATTATTTTAAAATAATTTTAAATCAGAACTCACTCAATACTACCACAAACTTTGAAAAAAAAATCTCCATGAAACAGAATATCACAGATCCTGATTTTTATTATTCTCATCAGGTTCCTGGTAGCAAAAAAGTAAGTATGTACCAAAATATAATTCATTCTGTAGAATAAGTTCAGGCTCCAGACCACATCAATGCAAGTCAACAATACACATAAACACAGAAAGCAACAGACTTTTGTTTGTTACCGCATTTATAAAGGTCTGTATTGTCAGAAAAGTGGAACCCCTCTATAACAAAGGCAGCTTGTTTACATACCTCACTGAGAATCTAATTTTAAATCTCTGAGTTAGAAAATCACTAAAAGCTAGAGCTAATAAACTGCAGTTAGTAAATTGTTGTTGTGAGCGTGGGTATGGGAGCCTTTAGCAATCACAGTCATACTTGTGCACAGATGCACTACATGGCTATACTGGTTACTCCAGTCTCTTCCATACAGGAACAGATTGCAAATTACAAAACTGTGCCCCAACACCTCCTCTACCCTGAGCAGCAAACATCTGAACTGGAAGAAACTTTCTCATCTCAAGTTACGATTTTAAATTTTATAAGTGTCAATATGGTTCTTAATTTTGCTTTTTAAATCCTCTTCTTGTCCCCAACGAGGACTCTTCTGACTTGTTGTCTCTGGAGGCGTCAGAGACCGACAAATGCAAACATTTCCTAAAGTTTCCAGTTATTATTTGGTAACTTAAATGCAGCTTCCCCTTGTCCTCCCCCCACTCCCCCCATGCCTTTACATTGCAGTTAATGCCAAGAATTCTCCCTTAAAAGTAGCCTTTTCTGAAACCTCACCAAAATCTTGATGCTTATGAGTTTCCATCAAAGTACTGGTAAAGGTAAATTCCAGATCAGCCAAAAGCAGAGGCATACCACATACTCCACAAATCAGGAAGCCTTAAATATTGAAGATATTTATCTAGAAAACACTGGGGACCAAGTCTTTCCTTGTTAGAAAGGAAAAAATCCTTCAACACAAAAACCTAAGTAGACATGTCCATAAAGAAACATCACACTCTAAATACCAACAGTTTAAGTCATTGAGATATTTTATTTAGTACCATAGAAACAAGTCAAAATAAGAGATGTATCCTTGTTTCTGTAAAAAGCCCTCTGATTTTTTTTTAAACATGGCTACAGAGAACTCATACTTCCCCATCCTGTCCTTCAGTTTGCATTACACCATGCTGCAAATAGCCTAGTTATCTCCATTTAGTTTATACAGTCTCCTAGAAATAGAAGATTGATGTGGAAAATATGAAAATTGTCAACTTTGGTACATCCAAGTACAGAAGCCAGTATTTGTATGATAGTTAAGAAATTACTCTAATAATGCATTCTGGAGCTTTTTAATGCTAATGATAAAAGACAAGCATTTCAGATGGCATCTAATGACGGATGTTATTTTGGTAATGCTTGCAGCAGGCTTCGGCTTGGTAAGGAGTTAATGCAAATTACCTTTTGCTTAAGAGAGAAAAATGTGATATGTTGCTGTAGGTGTATCATGATTTTCTTTTAAGAAAACAATGACTTAGCAGCAGTATTTGAAGAGGTAACTGTGCTTAGCAAAAAACCCTATTACTTTATTAAAAGTTGAGTTAGTGTTGTAAGGTTTGATATAATTCCTAATAACTTGTCAGGAAAAGGAGACAAAGTTTAATCCCAAGAAACAATGACAAAACTGTTTCAAGCTCTTTAAGTTCTTACCTAGCTGTCTGCCAATGCTGAGAGGTTGGGCTGGGAAGTACGATCGTCGCAACACAACAGACTCTCTCACTCTCTCTCTCTCGCCTCTGTATTTTTTTTATTTTTTTTTTTTTTAAGACTATTGCATTTACGTAATCGTCCTCTTATTAGGAAGATTCTGCTGAACTGCTGACAATGATGTACAGTGGTGCTTCGCTGGCGTGACGTTTGGGGAAAACGATTCTGCTGCACCACCACACAAAACCAATTAGAGAACTATTTTCTGCGACAGGTCAGGAATTTACATTGTTTCTCATAGAAAGATGTGCTTTTTAATTTCTTTATTAAGATGACATCCATGTCCCTTGTGACTTTTAGGGATGACAATCATTTGCTCATCACATGGGAAAGTACAATCAGCGAAATCGCATCACCGGTACGGGGCAACGCCAGAAACTCCAAGCATCGTTCCGCATTTTCCAAATGAACTAGTTTGAGAACCAATAATTAGAACAATATATATTGATAGACTTTTTTGACAGGACCTTTAGTCACCCACCACGAGGGTGAAGTAATGATAGCCCATAGACAACAGGCCATGCTATGTTTGCTGAACATATAAACATCATCTTTGTCAAATCAGTAAGACATATAGAAATCCTGTACGTCTTCACATCAGGACATGACAGGAGGTACTAACTAGCTTCAGCTTCTTTCTTGACTTGTGGATAACAAACTGCTTCTCCTTAGTGAAGCCTTGACGGTCAGTATTTTTATACCAAAAAAAGAGAACTTAAAGTGGTATCTCTGTTACAACAAATACACAAAATAAAAGATTTCTCTGCATAAGGCTGAAATGATATCCAGAACTCACTCCATTTACCTCTTTATCAAGGAAGGCTCCCTCAAAATACCTGAACACAGGGAAATTAGTTGAAATGAAATTTTGTTTAGCATGCAAATAGAAATTTGTGATTGCTTAAACACACAAATCTCTAAACATAGTCTTCCATAAAATAATAAAGAGGTGAAAGAGAAATAAATACCTGATTAAACACATTAAAGATTCTGAAGTAAGACTGTATCTGGTTTTATGAATTCATTAATGTAGTCTCATAATTATCAATCTGTATTTGTACGAAGCCATGACTCTATATAGTGTGAATGTACATTAACAATAGAAAAGACTGTATTTCAACAAAGGTTGGTCTTGTAATGTGTTTAATTCACTTGCAAGATTGAAAAGAATCTGAGCATACTAGTTTCCAAAGAAAAAAACCCTGAATGGATTAAAAAAATCACACTTAACAGCAGTAAAAATGTTTTTCCAAAGGCAAAAAAAGAACAGGTTTGGTAAGAGGAAGAAAAATTTTATTAATTAAACATACATCTTGCAATTTAATTAACTGACTTTGGAAGGAAAAAAATATTTTTATTGCAAAATATTACTTACATGGAAATATAAAGCCATTGCTACTGGCATGCATTTACAAAGCAAATTTTATACTTTACATTTTTATTTGAAACTCCTTAAAAACACAGGAATAGCTAAAACTGAGATAGACTTCAGTCTAATGTTGATCATTTGAACAAGGACATCAGCATGTAAAAGAGCAAAAGATCCATTACATCCACCTGCACTAATAAGAGTTTGTTTTTTTCTGAACAGAAGAAAATACTGGTTTTGAAATGTATTTTAGTAAAAAGTACATCTCTGCGTATGTGTGCATACATATATATGTGTAAGTTTATATATTTTTCATTCAAGATTCCAGTTTCATTCTACATTTTTTTTCTGTGGCTAAGTATCTACGTGAAATCACCCAAATGTTTGTATTCGAGCAAGCATAGTAATACAGCTATAAATACAGAAAGCAGCAAGGTTATATCATACTTTATTATATTGTTATTTTCAGCAAGCATAATCAGAGTAAGAGGCTGGCAACGGGAAGTTTCTGTGTTCCAGTCCTGATTGTATCACTGAGTCAATGTGTCATTCATTCCCTTGTGTTCCTGTCAACCAGTTGTAAAATGTGTGAGAACATATTCTGCACTTTTTTTCTTAAGTGTTTTCTAAATTTAATCTGATATTTTTCTGTGCGGTGTCAAGATGATGTTAGTTCTCCCTTCTTTAGGAAAAAAAAAAACAATATACAATTAAATGTGCTGGCAAAATCTATGTTCATATATTACATGCCTACAAATTCTGTCAGTAGGCACATATACCTACAGCTGTGTACAAATCCACGTGCTCATAGTTATAGCCTATATATACTTACTATGTACACAATACATGTGAATTTAAGTAATTTTTATTGGCCTATGCTACACAAAAATGTTTTTGGTTAAGGAAGATTCCAAATTTAACATTTGAACTAGTACTTAATTTCACTGATGGAAAAAATCAAGAGAAATACTAAAAGATTTCTCACCAGCAATATGTACAGTGAAAATATCTCCAAGTTTCTTTTGCTGATCCAGTAAGAATTTGAAAGCATCTTTTCTAAAAATCAAAGCCTTCCCAAGGTAAGGAATCCAGCCATTTATTAGTGGGGGCTCTCCATTTTTCCTGTTAAAAACAGAAAAAAAAAATCAGGAATTAACTCTGGCATGAGAGCAGCTCATCTTTATATCTATTTATATATTACACTTAGACCCACCATTTACATATATAATTCTTGCAATGTATAATATGTTGTACAGAAAGTTCTTCAGATATGATGGCAGGTTAAATCTAATCACACCTCTGAGCACAGAAGGCTCTGTGTGGTGATTAGGAAAAATAAGTGAGAGAAATTGAGACGCATTTAACTACTGGTCGTACAGTTATTACCATCAAGCTAGGAACACAGAAAAATGACATTTGGTAGAAAATCTTCCAGCAAAGAGTCCTCTCATTTTCAATATTTGGAGTGTCAGAGGAGGATGTATCGGACGGCAATTATGACAGATTTAGGTAAATAGGACGCTGACATACCACACAGAACAACTAGCCTTACAGATAACGTTTTAAGAATTTATTTTTACCAGCACACAGACCAACTACCATTCTAACTAAATATCTTCAAAACACAGAATAATAACAGAGGCCGAACATTTACCACAATAAATCTTAGTCTCTGTGTGTCTATAGTCACCTAAATCAGGAATGTGTATGAACAGTTTAGGATTAAATTCTAGATAATGATATTTGCATCCCAGCCTAAAAACGCAGCCACGGTGTGTTAGTTATTTTTATGGAATAGCATAGAATATCTTTTAAGAATCTAATAAGTTACATTTTTCTTTAAAAAGGAAAAAATGTTCCCACACTGTCCTATTCCTCACTGCAAGTAAATGCCTTTCCTTCGTGCTGGTCTTTAGTTGCTTGAATCTGATTTACAACAAAGAAACACAAAGCATGCTTGCTCTGGAAAGGATTAAAACAAATACTCATGAACAACTCTGCTGCTACATCCCATCTGTGAAGGTGACTTATACTACATGCAGAACAACTCATTCTGATTAAACACAAGATATTTACTAGCTTGGATCTAATCAAAGATCAAGGGATCACAAGCTTTACTACTATCATACACAGCATGGATTTTTATGTAGCCAGATTAACCCTATCATAGTCACATTCTCCCTTGAACTGCTGTAACAGGAATGGAAAAAAAAAAAAAAAGGTAAACATGATATCCTGTATTTACATTTTTTATTTTCCTAATTAAAACTTTCTGAGCAATAAACTACAAGCCAGAGATTTGCTCTCTTAATTTAGAAAGTTGTTAAAAAATTTCATTTACAAATAAACAGACGTGGCAAAATGAAGTTGTATACCTCAATCTCTTTCTGACTACTAATTCTGAATGTTTGTTTTCAAGAACATCTTTTTGCCCTGTGGAAAACCAGTAAACCTTCTAGTCCCAACTTGACAATTTCATAGTTTACATGTTTGCCCTGTTTTTTTCTCTTTTTTTTGGGCTTTGTGGATTGGGGCTTTGTTTGTTTGTTTTGTGGTGGGTGTGTTTTTTTTTTTTTTTTTTTTTTTTTTTTATTGTGAGGAAGGTAGAGACCCTCTCTTTTCAATACCTCCCATAAACCACTGCATTATCCATCCTCTAGCTATCAAATAACAACATTATTTACTCAAGTGGTCCAGAAAACTTTGTAACAGTTAATTCTGTATTAAGTGAATACAAGAGCTAATCTGAGATTACATGAGAGGGATCACCAGTCCTGGGAGCATAACAGCCCACTTGATACCCTCAATTATCCTCTCCAAGCCCGTAAAGAATCTGGATGATTTATTTACCCATTTTTTTTGCCCCAGACTATTAAGTCCAAGGGCGGCCGCCTTTCACTTCCCGGGCTGGACACTATGCCCCTGTAAGTAGCATCCTGACAAATATTTAGATCGGCTTTTTGTCATCTTCTAATTGAATGCATCTAATTTCACCCTCCATGTTCTGTCATTTGGTCAGAAGCTGTATTCTTCACAAGCTCTCCGCCGGGTAAAAGGGAGGCAGCTCAGAAATCCAGGGGAAAATTAACTTAATGTTCCAAGTCTGTGGGATCACATCAGGGAGACATTTTGCTATTGCAAAGACGTAAGGGTCATCGTTCGCTTCAGACATGTTTAGCTCAGCAGCAATAAGCTTAACACTGTTAAACACTGTGTCAAGGCTACGCACTTTCAGAGGAAAATATAACACCAGTTCAACTTACGACCCACAGCAGACTGATAACAGAAATGTGTCTTCATTTCTAGCTTTCCTTCTCTTTGGAAGATGGAGGTCATCTTCATGACTTACCGATGTCCGCCAACATATAGCAAAGAGAAGAGCGCCGCGTATATTTCAGCGCCTCCCAAAATACAATGCTTCGCTGCACATACTTTTAAGCAGCACAGTTCAGCTGACCCTGGCTTCCTTCAGGACTCTCACCCACATTTGGGGTAATTCCAGAAGTTCCCATTGGCTTCAGATGCCTCATTGAACCATTCACAAAGCCCATAGAAACTTTTACTGGCTAATTTATGTGTTTACAAACTTTAACTCTGGCCTCACACTACACAGCTGTTGTAAAATTTGATAATACAGATAAAATATTAGAAATGTTACAGTTTCCTCATAATACATATTATTGTATCAAATGAAAAATACAGCTACAAAATAAAAAAAAAATAAATGTTTTGATGGCAATTTAAGACTGTAACTTTTTAAACTGAAGCATTCAGAGCATCTTACCAGATTACATTTTATTCAGACCTGGTTTAACTGCCATATTCTAATTCACTTAACATACATCATAATATTCCCAGGCCTTTTTGCTCCATGTTTCTGTTTTTTACAGATTGGGCTGGTTTTGCTTATATACAGGAACATCTTTACTTATCTGAGAAGCCTCTGAGAGGTCAGTAATACTTAACAGACAAATTTCTCACGTATGTGAGTGAATTTTACAAATAAAGCATCAGCAACATGTCCAGTGCAATTTATAAGTAGACAGATTAGTTACAAAGTGGAGGGAAAGCAACACAGTTGCATCATCCATCATTGTTAAATGCATAATTTCAAATGGCATTATGGAAAAATCATCTGGCTACAAATATAGCCCATAAACATAATGAACAGGTTTTGATAACTGTAATTTTTCTTTGCTTTCACAGAGAAAAGATACTTCCCTATTAGCAAGTAATAAAGTCGAAATGTCTACTCAATCAAAGAAGGAAAGTTTTGGATCTTGTTTCCAGTCTTCTTAAGGGAGATTTCTCAGCTCATCCAAAACACAGAAGTCACTGACTCAGGTGTGATTATTTAGCTAGTGAGGTAAGGCAGTATTCAAAAAACGTGGATGTGGTACCTTTGTCTCACTTATGCTAAGCAGCAGTAATGCAATAAGGCAGTAGAAAAATGTGCTGCAACATAAATTTTGTGAATAATAGATTAAAAAATATATTTTTTTTAAATTCAAGGTTTCTAAGCATTGTTTTCAATTAGTGAAAGGGAATTATTTGGGAAACTCAAAAAAGGTTATTTGTTAAGCTCTCTGAACATTAACATATTTTTGCGGGAATCATAAAGAAAATACTCTAAAGGTTCACAGGAAAACAGACTTCACCAACATTATCTCTCATAGAAATTTATTGCTTTATAAAAGCACACAAGACTATTCTTTTGCTAGTTACACCACTTCAGCTCCTCTGCAGTGTAGGGCATAGGATCAGTGTAAATGAGAGGAGAATCCCTCTCATCTCATTCATTATTTGTATTCCAAAGGAGCAGATGCCTTCCAAATTATGCAAAAATCCACAGCGCATCTTGTACTATAGCAGATGAACAGGTTAATTTTTCTCTTTGCACATAATAAATCATAAGTGCTTTAACACCCATAGTCGCATTTCATGAACATAAACCTTCTGTTTAATAATGTCTGTTTACAACTAGAATCAGACATACAGTAATCTCTTGCCTGGGATAAACATTAATCCAGATCTGTCTAGAAAAATTATACAATTCATTACCATAAGTAATCTCTATTGTGCCCTGTGCTTAACCTTCATCTTTTTTCCTGTCCTATAATCTTGCAAATCCACCGGTGGTGTATGATTGGCATCTGGTGTTAACGCAGCCTTCACTGCACACAGCACAGCTGAAAAAGCCCTACATGAACATGTTACTCTGCAGGGTACCGCCGCTTCAGCTGACCACTGCCCAACAACTTTCACCAAAGGGTAATAAAAAAACCCCAGCAAGCTGGGGGGAAAAAGGTCTAACAACAATATTGTTTGCCACCAAGGGGTCATTTTCACTTTCCAAACCATTGTCATCATGTACAAAAATTAAGGGTATTGGTCTGATTTTCCCATAGCATCCCTGGTCACACCATCACATACCACACCCAAGCTGGAACACACTGTGCCGGGGGACTTTAAGGAATGGAAATGGATGGGTACAGAAGTAGTACAATAGCTATTATGAACATGTCAAAGCAGTTTGAGATTATTCACAGGCTCGATTGCAATAGTTAAGCAACAAGACATGACAGACAGTGTCTTTCCAGGGGCTTATGAACACTCTAACTCTGAGGAAAAGAATGAGGCCAAAGGCTTCAACCCCAAGAAAGGTAATCCCCAGAAATGTGGTGTCTGGAGTGTCTTCTTGTATTATGAAAGAGAGAACACAGGAAACTAAGGACAGGAGAAAGCCAGTAAGTCTGTCATCCTATTTTTTTTAAATTCAGCAGTTACAGTTTCCCCCACAGACCTGCTCATTGCATTAGGTGTTTGGTATCTATGTGGACACAAAAAAAGTCTTCCAAATATTTATCCACAACACAAATTTTTGATACTTATAAAATTACGCATGCCTTAAATACTCCATCTAGTTTATTTGCCTCAGTGACCTCCTGGAACTTTAGTTTTTCTCTGCAGAACAAGCCAGATGAGGTTTAGCAATATACAGTTTTCTACCTTTGAATTCTCAGCTTAAAAACTTCTGTGGAGATAAGGACCAGATGGGGCTTCTATCTGATCACTAGTTGGAGGCTTATGTGGGGTAAATGGATGCACAGGGCCAAGTCTTGACAGAGAGTTGCAGACATGGATTGACCCAGTGACTAAAAAGAAGAAACAAGAACCTTGTGATGGAAAAAAACCTCACTCTGCTTACCTTTGTCTACTTAAATTGATTTCACACTGCACCTCCTCTTTTTCCATAGGATAAATATTACTCGTAAAATAAAAGGAAAAATATTCATGAAAAAGTAGCAAATATACTTTTGAGCATACTAAGGAGAGAAGAGTTTATCTGCACTCTCAAAAAGAGCAGTACAGCAAAGACAGACTCTAGTGGTGATGTGAGACAAACTGGGAGAACGCTGACAAAAACAAACTAACCAACTAGTGAATTTTTATAGTGATATTTTTTTTTCACAGAAAAATGCAATCCTTTTGTTGAAAGCTTTCCATGTCAAGAACTTCTGGGATTTTATTTCTTTTTCCTGTAAAAGCATACCAGTTTTTTGTTGCTAAGAACTCTAACGTGCTGTAATCCAGTCATCACAGGAGCCTCTTCTTTTTTCCCCTCTTCTAGCAACTTCATTCAGGTCTTCCACAAATATAAGAAAAAATTACCAGAATTCAACAACTCATTCAGTAGCTTTGAAATATCACTCTCCAGTAAATCTTATTCCTTTGCCATTTTTTAGGCTACATTATCTCAACTATTATAGGTTCACATTGTACTTACCACCTATTCACACTTCGAAGTTATGTGTTAAAGGACAAACTCATAATTAAACAACTGTGTGCACTGACTGGTCGGGAAGTTGCCTAAAAAGCCAAAAGGTGGGTAAATACCATTGTGGGAGAATAATCTGAACAGTTTAAAAATGGAAACCCACTGAAAAAGCCCTTTTTGGCTCAGGTTTTATCAGAAGCTAAAGATTCCCAGGAGGGTCCTACATAAAATGTAAATTAAGGTTTCATAATAGCCAGGATAGAAGTCATGGTGAACAAGACCTGACCAATACGACAATAATTCAGCAATATTAAAAGTTGATATACATTCACTGCTTATGGCCCCATCCTTGAAATTCTACTTTGTTTCTGCTCTGGGTGAGGTCAATAAGAGAGGCCACAACTATTCAGTATTTTCTATGACCAAGCCCAGGGTTATTTTATTACCTCTTACATTTCAGATCACTCACCCAGACCATGGCTTTTCCTTCCTCAATTCTGCTTTAATCAAAGAAAAGTAGGCTAGGAAGGGTCACTTATTCCATGCCTCGTATCTCAGGCAGGGTGCTGTGCACCAATATCTTCCCTCATATTTGCCTATGCTTTTCTTGAACATACTCAGTAAAGGTGTCTTTACAGTCTCCCCAAGCAATCTGTCCCTATTATCAGCAAGTTTCTCCTCACATCTAACCTTTATCTCCATGTTGTACCTCAAGCCCACTACTTCTTATTCTGCCTGTGAAGGATAAGAGAATAAATTATTCCCTTCACTTCTGTAGAAGCACTTAATGTATTTAAAGGTACTTATCATGTCCTCCCTGAGTCTTCTTTAGGTTAAACAAGCTCAATTTCTTCCAGTATTTCCTCATAAGTATTTTTTATACCCCTACATATTTATGTCACTCTCCTCTTGATTTTCCAATGCTAGCCCACACCTTTCTCTATGGCAGTGTCCTGCACTGAGCGCAGCAGAGCAATTACCTCTTCCATCTCAAGGGCAACACACCCGGCTTTCCCTCCCAGCACAAACTCAGTTTTCTGCGCAAAATCACCACCGTGTTGATAAAAACTCAGCTTGAGAACCTTTACAGCCCTCAGCCTTTTCCCAGAGAACAGATCACGGTCCTGTCCAGATGTTGTTGATTAGTCTTCTGTGGTTTTGGAACACTAGTGCCTTCTTTGCAGGCTTGCAGTCACTACTATTTTGGTGTTATCCACAAACATAAACACTTTTTTTCCTGTATTCATGTGAGGATAGGATCAGAATATGAAGTCCACCAGTATTTCCTTTTACCACTATCAGGAACATATTTATGCTGCATGCTAACTGATTTTACCTAAGAGAACCCAATGACTCTCACCCGATATCCATCTCTTTCATAAGCCATTTCTGCACTTTAATATACTGCCTTGCTGCAACACATGTTAAAACTGTACACAGTAAGTAGCTCATAGTAGGAAATCATATTAACTGTCTGGCCTAGAAATGACAAGTGAAGTGTGGATAAGAATGTCAGCACTCTCCACAGAAATATATTCAAAGAGGCAGAAATCATTCCTTACGTAATAAAGAGCAAACAAATAAATCCAGGAAATGTCAGAAACAGTGCTGGGACATCATCACATTTGAAAAACCCTGGTAACAAGGAAATAAAAGAACGTTAGACTGAGAGATATTGCACCTTCTGTGTGCAGAAACTGTATTTTCTTTGAGTATGCAGTACGTCATTTCAGAAGTAAAAAAAAAAAAAGTAAAAATCAAATATTATTTCCTATAAAACTATATGAATGCTAAATAATGGAGGATGTTCATTAGAACAAAAGACCCTTCATTAGAAAACAGACCCTTCATTTCATGTAACTGAGCTGTCCAAAAGTTTGGTATCTTGGTTAAACCAGACATCTTTTAAGTTCTATGTAAACACTAGAGAGAAAAAGAGCAAAAAGGCTTTTTGGAAGTATCATTCTTTATTAACAATACAGATACAGATAG